CTTAAGGCTATTATCATGGGTTGTTAACCAGCAACGGAACACAAATTGTTGAACCGCATTATGAATTTTCAATGACAAGGAGCCTATATTAGGACCATCCTTCAGCAAGAACGAATTGAAACATTCAATAAGCTCGCGTGAGAGCATTCCCTCATCGCTGGAAATTATTTAATAAAGTAGTACAACTTTAGTTATTGTTTGTAAAGGAGGGTACAATCTGAGAGAGACATTGAGTAACAAATAAAATCAGACCTTATCATCTCTACCAACTAATCATCGTAACCATTTCCAGATTCTTTCACGGGTTTTGGGTTTGCAGTAGCATCTTTCAGGCTCCTTGCCGTTGCAATGCCACCTCTGGGAAGTGAAGTCTTTTGTGTCGAACCTCTTCTATACCTTGACGCTGTAACAGAAACTGAAGCTGAAGAAGGAGATGGTACGGTTTTCTGCATAATCAAGAATCACAAAGAGGATTGAAGTATACACTTAATGCCTTAATAAATTACGAAAATCAATCCTAATAGAGAAACATATCACTCAAATCTACAAACTTCACATTCTCCTTTTAACATTTAGAAACAAAAAGAAGAGAAAGAAGAAAATACATTACCTTATTCTCAGACATTCCAACACCTGATGTAAGAACGCCATTGATGCCAACAAACAAGAAAAAGTCAATGTGATATCACTTGTGCTTTTTCATATTACAGAAAGAATCGAATTTATCACCTGTTCGCTTACCGAGAGCTTGCAATCTTTCCGACACTTGATTCTGCATTTAGAAATCTTCTCTCTATACGATCTCACCTTCTCCTTTTCACTACCATATAAGTCAAACAAAACAACCAAACTTCTCAAACAAAACCTAACAAGAACTAAAGTTTTGTTTTTTGTTGTTGATAAAGAACAAAAACTAAATCTGAAAAGATGATCAATACCTCGAACTAATATACGAAGGAGAAGGCGTAGGAGTAGCTTCATTCATGATCCTTTGAGCATTTCTGTAATGAAGAGAGACACTGAGTAACAAATAAAATCTGGTGAGAAAATAACTAACATACAGAACACACATGCGCATGGGCATATTAATAAGATCAATACGTAACGTATTCCAGTTCCATAAACCCCTTTTCCATCACTGTTCACAATCTCCCAGATTCTTCTAAGATTATCATTCAGCAATTTTCTGGTTTTAGTAATTACAGGAAGCATTCAAAATCAGATAACAAAAAACTTTGACCAAGAGACTTAATACTTCTGCTTTTTGAATGACAACGTGAAGAGTCTTTGCGCAGGCACAAAGTAAAAAAGGATAATTTCAAAAGCATATTACTATATTTCTTATTAAACAAAAAATATTACTATATTTCTCACCAGGAAAGTTGGTTTCTTTTGCTCTCTGAATAACAACTCGAAGCGTCTTTGCAAAAATTTGGCTTGGGCAACCGTTGCTTACTATCTAACTACACATTGAAGGAGAATTTAACAAAAAAATGGCCACGTTTCAGCTGCAAGGACAAGCAAGGTGCTAGATTAACTTCAAAGCTTGATGCACTGTATAATAGCATCAAAGTTTCCGCTGGAAAAATCACTACCTAACATTAGAAATCTCGTCAAAATTAAGCTTAGTTGTGTGTTTACGAAAGAAATCTACAAAGGGTAATTGACCTTTCTCCTCTGAGCCACATATTCAATAACTTGAGTCCATCCTGGATATACATATTATTATGTAAGAAATTCATCGACATGAGCAACCTTGAAATAGAATGTTATAGATCAAGATATGAACCTAGTTGCATAACAGCACTCACACGATTCATAAAAATTTAAGATTCTAGTCAATGCTAGGGATTCCATGGCTTACTTTTAGGTGCGGTGTGTTGGAAACAGATTGGTCCGGAAAAGCAACCAGATTCTAATGATATAGGCAATGTAACCTTTTGAAGCAGTAGTATGATCAATCAAGAGAGTGAAGCAAGCATCAAAGAAGCAGCCAGTATGGTAGCAATTACAAGACAAATTAATTATCCTTTCTCAGATGTTACACAGGTGAAGACGAAGACAACAAAATAAGTACATCAACTTTTCGAACCAAACCCAGACGAGATAGTCATAGAAATCGAGCTATATTAAAACGAAACTACAAAATTGAGGCCATTAAACTGGTCGACGAAAAACGAATGAACATCGATCGATAAACAAAGGATCGTTGTGACAAACCACAAAGAAATCAAAAAAAAAAAAGACACGACCAAAATCCAAAATTCTCAGCCGTTTTTCCACCTGAAACCCAAACGATAAAAGGGGGTGGGTAACTGGAGAGTTTACTTGGCGAGTCTTGGCTTGGAGACGACCTCGGATTAACCATGGTCAAATCGAACTAGAGATCCCTTGGAGACGACGAGAGCATAATCCGAGAACGACGACCATCTTTGAGAGAGTAGACAGACACCCAACGAAGAAATTGATTTTGAATTTCTGGGAAAAGGTTTCAGGGTTTATTGACTATGACAACTTTTTTTTATAAGCCCTTATAATCTTACAACTTTTTATGCTTTTGCCCCAATCGAGCCGTTATAAATTATAATTATGCTATGGACCGACTAACTCAATTTCACCATAAAGCCCATTAATTTTATAACATATATCAAGTCGCCCCAAACTAACCGTTGAAACTTTAAAGTACCCGGTTTTCGTAATTATATTATGCCCCAATAGAACCAAATTTGTTTTCCTGATTACTGATAAATATCACCATGAATTATTCATCTTCAATCTTTTATTTATTTATTTCAAACTCTAAAATAGAAGATTGAAGATGAATAATTCATGGTGATATTTTTGCAAAATGTTATTTCAAAAGTAGTATTTTTAAAAATCCCCCTTGATATATTTGATTGGATAAGAGTCCAAACTTAATTTTTCACTACTACAATCCGTCTCTAACAGTAATAAACTTTATGTACTCACGTAATGTATCCAAAATTTGAAATAGATTAAATGTTGGAGGTCTTGAAAGATACAAAATCGATTTAGACACGATGTCTAATATATCTATTTTCAATCCATCAATAACAAACAGATTGAAAATCATTCCATAGTCCATACAATATAAATGAAAGAACAATTCATTTTATTTCATAATAATTTGCTAAATAAATCAAAATCTTCTTCATTAAATAACATAAAATTGTAAAACAATAACTCGCGTGGTTATACAAAAGATCTATAATACAATTGAACTAAACCAGAGTAAAGGTTAATCTCGAGTTGGACCTACTTTTTAAAACCNAAAAAATCGAATACTTGATGAGTGTTAGAATTTGTCTCTTTTCACATTATTTACGTAATAGTGCAATTTTCTTCTCTTCCTATGATTACATTTAAATTTCTGTCTTGTTAAAATTAAACATATTTAGTATTTCAATTAACTATATTAATATAAATTATCAGATTTATAAATATGAAAAATGACTCTTCAAATTCTTCATCATATTCCATCATGTTTAAACAAATGTATAATTCATGTGTATCTAAAAATTTTGAACTGGCAATGAGGTGGAATATGATGTGTTTTCATGATGAGAAGAGAGTAGCTAACTTTATACTAGTAATATAGATGA